AACCCTGTGTTGGCCCCACTAAAAGAAACTTGTTTTGAAGGGAGGGAAGAAAGTTACATAACCCTGAACATTTCTCACTGGGCTTTAGATCCTGTGTAGGTTTGAATCGTGACAACAGCCAATAGGCTTCAAGAAGTGAGGACCCTGGTGGTCAGACAGGGGACCTGAAGAACACCAGGATCTTGGACCAGAGACTAAAGATTGGATGGATGGGTGGATGAGTGGATGGATGGATGGATGGATGGATGGATGGATGGATGGCGTGTGTATGAGGAGCAGGAGGAGTTTTTGTAGAAGCTGGACTGAGAGTTTAGAACCAGTGACCACAGTTGGGTTTCAATAAAAGTTATTCAGAGACGGAGGCATCTGATTGGTCTGTCACTGGGTACAGATCAGAATTATCAGAAATCCCTAACGATGACATTTACACTTCAGAGGAATCAGACTCTATTTTTAATGGTGTTTTAAAATAGAAAAAGAAACAAAATGATCAATAAAAAAAATCACAATAATTTAAAACATTGAATTTAAATGTTTAATATTAAAAATGAAAAATGAATCCTGGTCCTGGTCCTGGTCCTGGTCCTGGACCAGCTGAGAAACACTTCACTGTCTTAACATTGACTCTTTGCTTCCATCTGGTGGTCACCTTTATGAATTGTTTTTCTTCTTTTTAATTCTAGGGACTCCAACAAATATGAATGAGACCTGTGAGTCACCTTCTTCTTCCTCCTCCTCTTCCTCCTCCTCTTGTCCACCTCTGCTGACGCCCACAGGCAGTGGGCCAGAGCCGGTCGGAATGTTTGACATGGATTCACCAGACATGGCCATGTCCAGCACCTCCAGCCAGTCCAACTTTGACCCCCGGAGGCACTCCTTCAGTGAAGAAGAGCTCAAACCACAGCCCATGATCAAGAAGGCCCGCAAGGTCCTGGTCCCTGACAACATGAAGGTGAGCACAGTGTTGAGGTGTGGCAGCAGCAGCAGTGACAGCAGCAGCGGTAACAGCAGCAGCAGTAACAGCAGCAGCAACAGCAGTAACAGCAGCAGCGGTAACAGCAGCAGTAACAGCAGTAACAGCAGCAGTAACAGCAGGAACAGCAGCAGTAACAGCAGCAACAGCAGCAGTAACAGCAGCACTCAGAGACACAGTAATACTCAGAGTCACAGTAAAACTCAGTGTCACAGTAATACTCAGTGTCACAGTAATACTCAGTGTCACAGTAATACTCAGAGTCACAGTAATACTCAGTGTCACAGTAATACTCAGAGTCACAGTAATACTCAGAGTCACAGTAAAACTCAGTGTCACAGTAATACTCAGTGTCACAGTAATACTCAGTGTCACAGTAATACTCAGTGTCACAGTAATACTCAGTGTCACAGTAATACTCAGAGTCACAGTAATACTCAGAGTCACAGTAATACTCAGTGTCACAGTAATACTCAGAGTCACAGTAAAACTCAGTGTCACAGTAATACTCAGAGTCAGAGTAATACTCACTGTCGGAGTACTTCACACTGATCTGTACACCTCAGTATTTACTGTATGTGGAGAAAACTTTTTCCTGGTACTTTGGTTTGCTGCGGTGTTCTTGTGAGACACTAAAGGGGGCGCTGCAGAGGAGAGGATTGATGTTGCTAAAGCTAAATAAAATATTAAGGATAAAAAGGAGTTTTGTGAATAATTCGATTTAATGTCAACATTTGATTGTCAACAAATACTGACGTCGACCATTCCTCCTGTGGCTGCAGACCAACCAATCAGCAGCAGTCTGGGGGGCTGCTGGTTGGTTGGGCGACCCCCCCCCCCCCCCCCCCCCCCCCCCCCCCCCCCCCCATCCTACCTGCAGATTGTTATATATTATATTAAAGATGAAATTATTAATTATAAAAAAACAATAAACCAGAAATAAAAACATTTCTCATTTTGTTGTTTGTTTACGTCCAATTTTATAAAACACTACTACAGCAGTTTTCTAGCTATTAATCCATGTACTGTGTGTACTGTGTGTACTGTGTGGTCCTCCAGGATGAGAAGTACTGGACCAGGAGGTATAAAAACAATGAAGCAGCCAAGCGATCCAGAGACGCTCGCCGTCTCAAGGAGAACCTGATCTCCGTGCGTGCAGCCTATCTGGAGCGGGAGAACGCCGCCCTTCGACAGGAAGTGGCCGAGATGCGCAAAGAACTGGGTCGCTGTCGCAACATTCTTAGTAAATACGAAAACCGTCTGGCTGACCAGTGATGAAGACGCCGAAGGAAAAACAACAAATCAGGAAGACGAGGAACATCAGCTGGATTGACATTAAGACTCGAATATTTCTGAGACAGAAGCCGCTCTGATAGGACGACAAGGACGATGATGACGATGATGATGATGATGATGATGATGATGAATGTATAAGTCAAGGAGAGGGTTTGAAGCTCAGGTGTCTTGTTTTTGTGGAGGTGTCAACTCCTAAAAGTCACAGCTAGAAAGAAAACTTTAACTTTAAATGAAAGATGTGACTTTGAAGAGTTTTGTTATCGGAGAATTGTATATTTTTATAATATTTAGGACAAATTAGAGGGAGAGCAAATTTGGTCAATAATTTTGTATATTTTCTATATGTCTGGGACGTAGAGACGGGAAAGCTACGGAAAAAATCTTTTTATTCTGGATGAGTCAGCAGCAGCAGCAGTTGTTGCAGTTGCAGCAGCAGTTGCAGCAGCAGTTGTTGCAGTTGCAGCAGCAGTTGCAGCAGCAGCAGCTGCAGCAGCAGCAGGTGCAGCAGCAGCAGCAGCCGCAGGGGCCGCAGCAGCGGCAGG